CCCGCCATGCCCCGCTGGGCTCAGGCAGGACAGGCAGTGGGCCTGCCCCAGTGCCCCCCAGACCGCCTCCCGCCTGACCCGCTGCCGCCCTCACCCCTCTGCAGTTCAACAGCTTCGAGCAGCTCTGCATCAACTTCACCAACGAGAAGCTGCAGCAGTTCTTCAACCACCACATGTTTGTGCTGGAGCAGGAGGAGTACAAGAAGGAGGGCATCGAGTGGGAGTTCATCGACTTCGGCATGGACCTGCAGGCCTGCATTGACCTCATTGAGAAGGTGCCACCCACCCCATGGCCCTGTCTCCTCCTCTTCCATCCTATCCCGGGCGGCAGCCCCATTTCTTCTGCTCCCAAGAAGCTAGAGTCCTCAGAATCTCAAGCCCCTCTCTAGGCCCAGCTCCCACCTGCTGTGGAGCCATGGTCCTTCCTTCCATAGATCCTTGCATCTTGTCTTCCTCTGTGGTGGTGATCTCCCAGTGTCTTAAAAGTGAAGCGCGTAGTCAAGGAGAGAGCTCTTGGCCCTCAACACTCCATGAGAAGTATCAATCATAGGAAGATCTACACTAAAACTAGAAATATTTGGCATCCCATCCCCTTCCTGTTCACTGAATAATAAGCTGGCCTCCAGTCCTTCTGTGTACAGATGCTCCTCAGGAGAGAGAAGAGAGCAGTGTGGGGCTCTGTTGTGCCAGGGCTGACTGCTCTTGTTGTGCCTTTGCTTTTTTGACTGAAATACACCAGAACCCTAAATATCTGACCCACACCCAACCAGTCACTGTGTTCAGAAATTAAGAGTTTGCCACAAGCTCATTATCTAGATTCTTTTTTTTTTTTTTTTTTTTAGAGCTCGAACTCGAGTCCTTGCGCTTGCAAGGCAGGCCATTGAACCGCTGAGCTAAATCCCCGGCCAATTATCTAGATTCTTAACCAGGCTTCTCATCTTTCAGAAAGGCCTCAGGATCCCTTAAAACTGTACGTGTGCATCTGTTTTCCTAGAAGGACAATTTTTGGCTTAACCAAATTCTCAAAAGAATCTCCCCTCCAAGAAATGCCAAGAAACACATTTTCCAAAGGACAGAGAGTTGTTCACAACCTGGATCCTCTGACCAACCCTGAAGAGTTGCCACCAGTGTCTTAAGACAGGGATCTGGCCTGGCTTGCAATTTGTTCCTCTGACACCCATCTGTCCCTGGCTTGGTGCTCCAGGAAAAAGGGGCTGTGTTGTGAGGCTGTGAGGTTTGATTAGTTGTACATAGCTCTTTGTTGGACCTTCTGGGACAGAAAATGGTTGTGTAGGCCAGATCCAAATGCAGTTGAATTCAAATAAATTCCAGAAATATTGGCTTCCTATCTTGTGGAAATAGGTAATGGCACAGGCTCCTTTCGGCCCAGCAATACCAGACAGTAGTCTTTCCTCTGTTGGGGGTGGGACTCTGAAAGCTTGGGAGAGCACTCATTGATTCTCTCTCCACCTCCCATCTTGACCTCAGCCCATGGGCATCATGTCCATCCTAGAGGAGGAGTGCATGTTCCCCAAGGCCACCGACATGACCTTCAAGGCCAAGCTGTATGACAACCATCTGGGCAAGTCCAACAACTTCCAGAAGCCACGCAATGTCAAGGGAAAGCAGGAGGCCCACTTCTCCCTGGTGCACTATGCAGGCACCGTGGACTACAACATCCTGGGCTGGCTGGAAAAGAACAAAGACCCACTCAATGAAACAGTGGTGGGCCTGTACCAGAAATCCTCGCTCAAGCTCATGGCCACACTCTTCTCCTCCTATGCTTCTGCTGACAGCGGTAAGGGGACAGCCCCTGAGCTGGGTTGGAGACTTCTGTAGGTGCAGGATCCAGAGGCAGGCAGGGGGAGCCAGTGAGTCAGGAGAGCCCACTGCTGGCCACCTATACCTCCCCACATAGTACCTCCCATTTTTTACCTTTCATTCTGGGTATTGATGCACATGTCTGTTTCTTCAAGACTGTGAGCAACTGGGGGTCAGCAAAGGTAGCACACACGTCACTGTCACCTGCCCACCATAGACCTATACATGCAGGACTTCTCAGTACACATTCAGACAATCACTGAAAAAGTGGTAGAAAAGAATGAGCCTCCAGTTCAGAGAAAGAAGAGAAAAGGTGTGGGTTGAAATGAGGAGAAAGTATAAGGAGACAAGTAGAATGTGGAAAGACATAAGAATGAAAAATAGGGCTATAAAGGAAGAGAAGAGTCATTGATGTTACTTTAATACCTACCTGTGAGCTGCTTTACATACTTAGTCCCATCCAGTCTGCTTTCCAGCTTTTAATGGCAGTTACTTTCATCCTGTGGAAAACTGAGACTTGGAGAATAGCTGGTGGAAATCCCACAGCTACTGAGTGCCAGAGCCTTGCCCTGACCACAGGACTCCTGTCTTCAAGCTCATGTTCATCATTCCTTCTCTGGTTTTTAGGGGACAGTGGTAAAGGCAAAGGAGGCAAGAAAAAAGGCTCATCCTTCCAGACGGTGTCTGCTCTCCACCGGGTAAGGAAGGCCAGAGATTCCATATCTGGGGTGGGTAAGCCTAGAGCCACCCTATCCTGATACTCTAAATCTAAGGATGAAAGAAGCTACAGATATAGGGTCGCTTTGCTGTGAAAATGCTGCACAAGGTCAGGCATGGTGGTGCATGCTTGTAATCCCACCACTTGGTGGGCTGAGGCAGGAAGATCACAGGAATTCCATGCCAGTGTGGGCTACATAGTGAGTTCAAGGCCAGCCTGGGCTACATAGTGAGACCCTGTCTCAAGAAAAGAGAGACAAGCATGAACTCACATCGTAAATTATATGTCAAACCTCTGTCCCTTTGATGGTTCTGGTGATAGGGTCTCTGGGTCCCAGTGCTAAGGAACCCAAGGGAAGGTCCTTGTGGCTACTAACTCCTTACCTTTACCCACCCCCAGGAAAATCTGAATAAGTTGATGACCAATCTGAGGACCACCCACCCTCACTTCGTGCGCTGCATCATCCCCAATGAACGGAAATCTCCAGGTGAACCACAGGGAAGGCTTTAGTCTGGGAGGGGTGCCTGGCATCCATGTACTCTGACCGACCCCATCCCTTCCCCTCGTGCCGCAGGGGTGATGGACAATCCCCTCGTGATGCACCAGCTGCGCTGCAACGGTGTGCTGGAGGGCATCCGCATCTGCAGGAAGGGCTTCCCCAACCGCATCCTCTACGGAGACTTCCGGCAGAGGTGGGCAGGGGGCGCTGCAGAGCTCAGGGACACGGGCAGCTCGGGGACCTTGGGCAGCCATGTTGGGGTGGGAGCTGCAGGTGGCCCTGGAATTCTGAAGGCAGGCCAGATCCTGCCAGAACTGGGGTGACTCTGGGCACTTCCCTCCCCAGGTATCGTATCCTGAACCCAGCGGCCATTCCCGAGGGGCAGTTCATTGACAGCAGGAAAGGGGCAGAGAAGCTGCTGAGCTCCCTGGATATTGACCACAACCAGTACAAGTTCGGCCACACCAAGGTGAATCTTGAGCCCTATTGGGTGGATACAGAGCAGATGTCCCTGTGGCACGAAGCAGATGGAAGATGAGGAAGCAGCCCCCTGATTCCTGGCTTCCTTCTCACCCCGTGGACTGCAAAACAGGATGCACTGCTCCCTTGTGTTTTGTATTTCTTCTAGAATGCATGGGATTGGGGACCCTAGGGGCTCTCTTAGACTTCTTCTGCCCCAGATACCCCTCTGTGAGGCTGAGGTCCCTTGTTCTTCCCCTTGCCCAAGGTATTCTTCAAGGCGGGGCTGCTGGGGCTGCTGGAGGAGATGCGGGATGAGCGGCTGAGCCGCATCATCACACGCATTCAGGCACAGTCCCGGGGCCAGCTCATGCGCATTGAGTTCAAGAAGATTGTGGAACGCAGGTGAGGCAAGAAGGAAAGGAAAGCCACCCAAAATGTCAGAGAATTGCCAAATAGTGTGGGTCAGAAGAGTTGGATTCAGATCCTGGCTCTACCACTTACTAGCTTGCCTGGGCATGTTACTTTACCACTCTGCACCTAATTTTAAATTCTTTGAAAATACTTCATTTTTAAAACACTAGAAGTCTGACCTGCCATTGACAGGTGTATAAGTCAGTGCAACTTCTTTGGAAGACAGTTTATCATTGTCTTCTAAAGCCGAACAATCACATACGGCCACTCCTAAATGCAATTCTGCCCACAGAGAAACTCCTGTGATTGTATCCAGGAGACAAATAAAAAATTCTCCATAACAGCACTTCCATAATAGTAGGGATCTGGAAACAACCTGAATCTACATTCAAGGAAAGTGGCTTTATAACCATTTGGTGGAATACTATAGAGCAATGAGAAGTGGTGAGCTACGATACATGGCATATGTTTGAACCTTCAAAGCATATTGCTGAATGAACAAAAGCAAGTCTTAATCCCAACAATCTGGAAAGATGAGGTAGGTAGATCCCAAGCTCAAGTCCAGCCTGAACAACTCAGTGACTTAGTGAGACTCTGTCGCAAAATAAAAAATTAAAAAGCCAAGGGATATAGCTCAGGGCAAAGGCATTGGGTTTAAACCCTAGTACTAAAAAAAAAGTCTCAGAAGGATATGTAGAGTGTGAGATAATCGTTATTGGCTGGGAATGCTTTAACTCTTGCTGAGTGGTAGGTTCATGGACAGTCACTTTCATGCTTCATAATGTGTATACAGGAGATATTCTTAAAGCTAAGAAAAGACTATACAATTTTAACATATTTGAGGTTCTCATCAAAATAGAAACACTGAACATAGTAGACACTTTATAAGTGGTAGCTTCCATTACTACTACTGTTCCGGTAGGGAACACTACATTCTTGTTGAACTGATCTATACTTTTGTGTAGCAACTCCATATTCAGTGCAGTCCCATTTGGTTGAGAGCGCATGCGTGCAACAAAGTACAAGACAGGACTCCTGCCTCTGATGTGTACAAACTTGCTGGATGGGGGAGAAGCCATACAGTTGCTCTTTCACAGGGTCCCTCTGTGCTTCCCCATTTCCTTGTCAGGGATGCCCTGCTGGTAATCCAGTGGAACATTCGGGCCTTCATGGGTGTCAAGAACTGGCCATGGATGAAGCTCTACTTCAAGATCAAGCCACTGCTGAAGAGTGCAGAGACAGAGAAGGAGATGGCCACCATGAAGGAGGAGTTCGGGCGCATCAAAGATACGCTGGAGAAGTCCGAGGCTCGCCGCAAGGAGCTGGAGGAGAAGATGGTGTCGCTGCTGCAGGAGAAGAATGACCTGCAGCTCCAAGTGCAGGCGGTGAGGCCCTGTGATGATCTCTTCATCTCTCCCTTTTTCTCTCCTAGATTAGAGCACATCCCCTCACCAGGGTCAGGAGTCTAGAAATGCCAGCTCTTAAGACCCTGCATCTCTCTTCTCTTTAACCACCAGAGTCTTCCCTTTCCTCTTCTCCCAGGAACAAGACAACCTCAATGATGCTGAGGAGCGCTGCGACCAGCTGATCAAGAACAAGATCCAGCTGGAGGCCAAGGTGAAGGAGATGAATGAGAGGCTGGAGGATGAGGAGGAGATGAACGCAGAGCTCACTGCCAAGAAGCGAAAGCTGGAAGATGAGTGCTCAGAGCTTAAGAAGGACATTGATGACCTGGAGCTGACCCTGGCCAAGGTGGAGAAGGAGAAGCATGCAACAGAGAACAAGGTAAGGACAGCTACCTCTGGTCCCAGTCCAGGTCTCCTCAGATTCCCAGACCAGAGGGTGGGCCTGGTCCTTGGCATGGATGTCTCCACAGATGTCCCAGCTATTGGTCTTTGGTGCTGAAGGAGTGGGGGTTTTGGTTGGCAGGTGAAGAATCTGACAGAGGAGATGGCTGGGCTGGATGACATCATCGCCAAGCTGACCAAGGAGAAAAAAGCTCTGCAAGAGGCCCACCAGCAAGCCCTGGATGACCTTCAGGCTGAGGAAGACAAGGTCAACACCCTGACCAAGTCTAAGGTCAAGCTGGAGCAGCAGGTGGATGATGTGAGTAGTAAGAACCATGCTCTGCCTCTCTCAGATCAAGATTTTTGCCATCAACCAATGGTCAAGGAGTTCTTGATCCCTATAATTAACTACAATGGCTTCTGGAGCTTTTCTCTTCCTTCTCTTCCCTCACAGTAGTTCCTCATTGGGCTGGGTTTCTTTTTTTGGTACTGGGGATCGAACTCAGGACCTTGGGCTTGTGAGGCAGGCAGCGGAACCACTAAGCTAAATCCCGGCCCCAGGGATGGGTTTCTAAATTCTTTGTGCTTGTGGGATATCTCTGCTGGTTTGACTTCCAATCCCATTGAACTTCGAGTTTAAGAACAAACAGAAGAACATGAAATGTGGATTTCAGATTTTCTACATTTTGTTCATTTTCTTTCTCCACCAGCTGGAGGGATCCCTGGAGCAGGAGAAGAAGGTGCGCATGGACCTGGAGCGGGCAAAGCGGAAGCTGGAGGGCGACCTGAAGCTGACCCAGGAGAGCATCATGGACCTGGAGAATGACAAGCAGCAGCTGGAAGAAAAGCTCAAAAAGTACGCACCTGCAGCAGCCATGAGAGGCTAAAGGAAGTATCTGGCCTGAGCACACAGTGCGTCACTCCCACTGGCTGGGGTTGCCCTGGGCACACACACTGGGAGTTCTGAGGGCCAGCACAGGCCTCCTCCTTCACTCGGCCAGAAGGGAGGGAGCTGGTCCTGGCATACGAGACAAGAGAACAGAATGGGCCCAGAGGAAGGAAGACCACCGTTTACTACCCCCTTCTCCTCTAGGAAGGAGTTTGACATTAATCAGCAGAACAGTAAGATTGAGGATGAGCAGGCACTGGCTCTTCAGCTCCAGAAGAAACTGAAGGAAAACCAGGTGACTTTCTTCTAGGTGCAGCTAAGGGGACACCTGATGCCCTGAGGCTGCAGGAACTGCTTAGGGTTCTAGACAATATCTAGAACTCCAGGCATCCCCAGAACCCCAACCATCCCTGACTTCCAGGCAGCACCAACCTTACCCTATTCTTATTGAGCAAGAATGTATTAGTGGAGCAAAGCTATTTTGGGGGAGAATCAAACCCCCTAAAAGGGTTTCTCAGGCTGGGGATTTAGCTCAGTGGTTCTGCTGCCTGCCTCACAAGCGCAAGGTCCTGAGTTCAATCCCTGGTACCAAAAAAAAAAAAAAAAAAAAAAAAGGTTTCTCTTTCTGTAATATGCTCTGCCTCATGGACTTTCTGCTCTGCGATGAGTGGTAGGGCTCGATTCTCCTCTCCCCACCGCCCTTCCTTTGGTACTTCTGCCCACTGCACAGGAGTGAGAAGAGCCTTCATGGAACACCTTTCTATGGGCTGTTGGCTTCATCCTCTTCCCAGTACTAAAGCCAGCCACTAACATAGGTTTAGTCCCCATAAATGCTCCCAATATGCAGTTGGCTTCTACCACCTTAATCAAGTCACTTACCCTCCCTGATCCTCAGATACTCTTCTCATCCATGATAGGAGACAATACCTCCCTCACAGGAGCAGAGATAAAAGTACTGTATACGAAACCACTTTGTCAACTAGGAAATCCTATGCAAATAAGACAGCCAAGTTTAAAGTCAGCCAGCCACTACTTTTTTGTCTCCTCTGTCTCTCCTATCTGTCTGTGGGAGGAGAGTAAAGGAACAGCCTAAGCCAGATGTGGTGTGTGCAACTGTAGTCCCAGTTCTTTGGGAAGCTGAGGCCAGAGGATCACTTGATCCCAGGATCACAACTAGCCTTAGGCAACACAGTGACACCCTATGTCAAAAAATCCATAATGTACCCCAAAACTAATGTGCTTTTAGTTGTGGGTTTCCTGGAAAACCAGTTAGGCTTGTACAATCTCCATTTTATAGCTGCAGAAACTGCATGGTCAGATCTGGACAGAGTGAAAACAGGTACTCAACTATTGGAGACAAGACCTGTCTTCTTACTTTCTGGGCAGATTATGGCTAGAAGGAAAAGGTCTCCCCTCAGCTCTCAGGACCTGTAGTTCAGGCTGCAAGTGACGCATAGACGCAATTCCACTCCTCTGGGCCACTCAGGCACTAGCCTGCCTTCATATGTAGTTTGTCTCCCCATCTTCTTAGGTCCTCTTCTCCTACTCCTGCAGTTCAGGAAAGCTGAAGGAACTTCCTGCAGTCCCTTGAAGCTGTCCATTATCCCAGATGAAGAAAACTGCACCAAGTCTCCCCTTTGTTCCTGGCTAGCCAAACAGATCAAAATGCTACATGGAATTTTCTCAAAATTGAGTCAATTCTAAGGTTAAGGCCAGAGCAACAAGATAAGGGCATAATGAAGAGAAGGTGACCTTTCCTGGCCTGGATAAGAACCCAACCCTGGGAATAAATAAGTAAATCCTGAAGGGTGAAGAATATGGTTGATTAGACGTCATGATTAAAGAAAATCACTGTAGTATTTTACTTTTTAGGCATATTGTTGTGGATATTTGTAAAAATACAAGCACTTACTTTCTTGTCATTGGTTAGAAGAGCAGAGTCAAGTAAATCTGTGGACTCTGAGATCACAATCTCAGGAGATCTCAGGATGCCCCTCTGAGCAGATTCTCAGGATTCAGGGCTGCAGATGCTTAGGCTGAGTTTAGAGCGCCCTCAGGAAACTCCTGATGATTGGGCTTTAACCAAATTCCAGTGCATTATAGGGTATTTAGCAGCATCCCCAGCATCTTCCCACTAGATGCCAGTACTACCCTCACCACCAAGCCATGCCAATTTAAAAAGTCCCCAGACAGTCAACTGCACCCCGGGGCAGGACACTGCCTCCGTTTGAGAACCGCGACTTGATAAGGATGGAAGAACTTGGGAGTCTTTAGAGCCCTAGGGCAGGGGCTGCCACGGAGCATCCGGGTGCATCTGAGCCCCTGTGTGTCCCGGCCCAGGCCCGCATCGAGGAGCTGGAGGAGGAGCTGGAGGCAGAGCGCACCGCCCGCGCCAAGGTGGAGAAGCTGCGCTCAGACCTGTCCCGGGAGCTGGAGGAGATCAGCGAGAGGCTGGAGGAGGCCGGCGGGGCCACGTCCGTGCAGATCGAGATGAACAAGAAGCGCGAGGCCGAGTTCCAGAAGATGCGGCGCGACCTGGAGGAGGCCACGCTGCAGCACGAGGCCACGGCCGCCGCGCTGCGCAAGAAGCACGCGGACAGCGTGGCCGAGCTCAGCGAGCAGATCGACAACCTGCAGCGGGTGAAGCAGAAGCTGGAAAAGGAGAAGAGCGAGTTCAAGCTGGAGCTGGACGATGTCACCTCCAACATGGAGCAGATCATCAAGGCCAAGGTGAGTCCTCTCAGCCTCTCTGCACCTTCTTCTTCCTCACATCTGTGCCTTCCTCCTGTCTTCCCTATCCGCCATCTTGTCATTCTCACTCCCTCCATCCCTTTGGTCGTCTCTCCTCTGTACCCTGGCCCTCTCTGGTGCTACCCACATCTGTCTTCTAACCTTTCTCCCTCCTTTAATTCAGGTCCCCTTGCTGGGCATAGTGGCTCATGCCTGTAACCCTAGCACTTGGAAGGCTGAGGCAGGTGGATGGCTTGTCTTAAAAAAAAAAAACATCCAGAACCTCACTCTCCTGCATTCTGTGTCCTCTCTACCTTAACCCTCTGCTCCTTCCTCTGTCTGCGGGACCCAGTTACTCTTCCTGTCCACTCCGGGCCTTCCCATATTCACCTTTCCTGTGTACACTACTGCCCAAAGGCAAACTTGGAGAAGGTGTCTCGGACGCTGGAGGACCAGGTCAATGAGTACCGCATGAAGCTGGACGAGGCCCAGCGCACCCTCAATGACTTCACCACCCAGCGAGCCAAACTGCAGACCGAGAATGGTGAGTGCTCTTGCACTGGCCCCAGGTAGGACATTGGCTGCTCCCTTCTGTGGCCCACAAACCCTTTGTTCTGCCTGCAGGAGAGTTGGCCCGGCAACTGGAAGAAAAGGAGGCGCTGATCTCACAGCTCACCCGAGGCAAGCTGTCCTACAACCAGCAGCTGGAGGACCTCAAGAGACAACTGGAGGAGGAGGGCAAGGTGAGGCCCAATGGGGCCAGTAGGACAGGTTTGATGGAGACCCTGGGCAATGAACCTCAACTCCAGAAACAGACCTGGAGGCTCTGTAATGCAAAGGCATCCAGTGAAGACTCTGTCCCTCAGCTATGCAATAGCCAGTCACTTAATGCTTCTTATTTGTAAGGGATTGGGGTGGGTAAGCCAAGAAACCACCCAAAGACATTAAGATTCCACCTCAGCTCACAAGCTGGATGAGGCTGGGGCTGGGTTGAAGTAAACAGAAGGATCTAGAGTATGGGACAAGAAGGAAGCCAAACATGGTGATGCAGACCTGTGGTCCCAGACACTAGAGGGGCTGAGGCAGGAGGATCACATGAGTTTGAGAATGAGGAACAGGGATTTCCTCCCACCTCCTGGTGCTCGCCTCTCCCCAGGCCAAGAACGCCCTGGCCCACGCGCTGCAGTCGGCCCGGCATGACTGTGACCTGCTGCGGGAGCAGTACGAGGAGGAGACGGAGGCCAAGGCCGAGCTGCAGCGGGTGTTGTCCAAGGCCAACTCGGAGGTGGCCCAGTGGAGGACCAAGTATGAGACGGACGCCATCCAGCGCACAGAGGAGCTGGAGGAGGCCAAGTGAGCTCCGCATAGTCCCCACCCTGATTCTCAGAGAGTAAGGAACAAGAGGACCAGGGTGGGGACAGTCAAAGTGGATATAGGAAAAAGGTTGGAGTGGGAGAGATGGAAGGATGGGCAATAGAAGTGCTGGGGAGAAGGCCTGGATCCTACAGTCTATAAACCCTGGCTGGCCCTGACCCACTTCCTGTGACGGGCGAGCTTTTGGCCCGGGTTATACCTGATGCTCACGTATAAGACGAGCAAAAAGCTTGTTGGTCAGAGGAGCACTCATCGTTGTTCAGCCTAGGGTGGGAATGAGAGGTGCTGCTACCCAGATGCACTGTGTATAGGGAGGCAGCAGCCTTGGCTCCTCTGGAGGCTGCAGCTCCATTACCCTAGGAACGTTGGAAAGGCACTGGGTCTCCAGTGGCAGTACAAGGGAAGAAGCGTCCCAAGGCCCACTGTTCCCACATAGAGTCACACACATTCCCCTGGGCAGGAAGAAGCTGGCCCAGCGGCTGCAGGATGCCGAGGAGGCAGTGGAGGCTGTCAACGCCAAGTGCTCATCACTCGAGAAGACCAAGCACCGGCTGCAGAACGAGATCGAGGACCTGATGGTGGACGTGGAACGCTCCAATGCCGCCGCTGCAGCCCTGGACAAGAAGCAGAGGAACTTTGACAAGGTGGGCAGTGCGCGGGGACGGCAGGCAGCAAGCGAGGCAGGGGCACCAGGAGGCCGGAGCCATCCTCCTGGCAGGCAAGGGAGGAGGGCTGAGCCCCTGGGCTGCATGGTGAGCTGTGTCTCCTGCAGATCCTGGCCGAGTGGAAGCAGAAGTACGAGGAGTCACAGTCGGAGCTGGAGTCGTCCCAGAAGGAGGCGCGCTCCCTGAGCACCGAGCTGTTCAAGCTCAAGAATGCGTATGAGGAGTCGCTGGAGCATCTGGAGACCTTCAAGCGGGAGAACAAGAACCTGCAGGGTGTGCTGGCCCGGGGGCTGGGGGTGGCCACAGGGCAGAACCCCCCCCCGCCCCCGTGGCGGGCGGAAGTGATTCAGACCTTTGAGCTTTCTTGCTCTCTGACCCCCAGAGGAGATCTCAGACTTGACTGAACAGCTGGGAGAAGGAGGAAAGAATGTGCACGAGCTGGAGAAGATCCGCAAGCAGCTGGAGGTGGAGAAGCTGGAGCTGCAGGCGGCCCTGGAGGAGGCCGAGGTGAGAGCCTGGTCCTCTCTGCCCGCTCCCCAGTCAGCTCCGCTGTCTCCACCCCAATTCCACTGGGACCCAGGACAGAACCTGTTGGCTCCCACTCTGGGGATTAGGTTGTCTGTCCATTCCCCACTCCTCATGACAACCTCCAAAGCAGGACCTGCACAAGGAAAATGTTGCAGTCTAATCTTAGGCCAGTTTTGTTTCCTGCCAGATTTCCTGAAGCCATCTCCTCAGGAAGTGATGGGGGACATGGCTCCACTGGGCTTCTCTTGGGGAAAGTCCTTAACCTCTCTGCACCTCAGTACCCTTAACTGTAAGGTGAAATTAATGTACGCACCTCACTCAAACATTTAATATATATTAGCTATTGTTACTGTGCATTTTTAAGAAACTGGGAATAGCTCCAAGGCTGGGCCTAGTGGTGCACAACCTGTAATCCCAGCACTCTGGGAGGCTGAGGCAGGAGGATTGCAAGTTTTAGCCCAGTCTGGGAAACTTACTGAGTTGCTGTCTCAAAAAATAAAATGTAGCTCAGTGTGAAGGCCCTGAGTTCAATCCCAAGTTTGGAAAATAAAAAATGATGACTGACTAAGGAGACAAAGAACAAAGAGAATTTGGGATTTGTGGATACAGAGATCCCTCCCTCTTCTGTGATTTTTTTTAGGTGGGTCGGGAAATTCTACCATGTTAGTACCAAGGATCTGGTTATGGGGAGCCCAAACACTCCTTCACAAAGGAAGCCTCGGTGGGGAATCAGGAAGTCCAGGGAGTGCAGCACTCGGTCTCCTACAGCAACCTGGGGTGCAGAGTCACCCTCCCCATCTCTTCCCAAGCTTCTTCAGGCCTGGCTGATGCCTGCAGCCTCTTAGCTTCCCTCTACTACTCTGCCCTGGCCCTGACTGTCTTCCTCCACCATCATCCCCAGGCCTCCCTGGAGCACGAGGAGGGCAAGATCCTCCGCGCCCAGCTAGAGTTCAACCAGATTAAGGCAGAGATCGAGCGGAAGCTGGCAGAGAAGGACGAGGAGATGGAGCAGGCCAAGCGCAACCACCTGCGGGTGGTGGACTCGCTGCAGACCTCTCTGGATGCGGAGACGCGCAGCCGCAATGAGGCACTGCGGGTGAAGAAGAAGATGGAGGGTGACCTCAATGAGATGGAGATCCAGCTCAGCCAGGCCAACAGAACAGCGTCAGAAGCCCAGAAGCATCTGAAGATCGCCCAAGCACATCTGAAAGTAACAGGAGATGGGGCTCTCAAAAGGGGGACGAGTCAGAGCAAATGGGTACCCAAGGAATGGTAAAGGCCAGAAGACTCTTGGTACACAAATATGAGAACACGGGAGCCATTACCTCTTGAATTTGAAAGCTTGACCGTGTGCCCTGTCTAGAGAATAGATGAGAGATGTGCCCCTTCTTCCCCAAGTGATAAAAGATTGATGAATGTGGGACGTGTCAGACCTCACTACTTATTCCCCTCAGGACACCCAGATCCAGCTGGATGACGCGGTCCGGGCCAACGATGACCTGAAGGAGAACATCGCCATCGTGGAGCGGCGCAACACACTGCTGCAGGCGGAGCTGGAAGAGCTTCGCGCTGTGGTGGAGCAGACGGAGAGGTCTCGGAAGCTGGCTGAGCAGGAGCTGATCGAGACCAGTGAGCGGGTGCAGCTGCTGCACTCCCAGGTGAGGGGTCAGGGCCTACCGTGTGGAAACCTGCTGAGTGTCAGAGCCCAGGACAGCTATAGAAACCAGATGTTCTGAGTGAGCATGTACCACCAGGGTCACAAACTATTTCACCTCTTGGGCCAACTCTCATCTGTTGCGATCAGCTGCTAGAACTGCTATGGTGAGAGGCAGGTCTAGACTTGAAAGCTAAGAATGTCATGTATGACTGGTGATACCTACTAGAATCACAAATCTGAGAATCGTAGAAAGCCGTTATTCAGTATCTTTGATCTGGAACACAGCCTCCTGACTTTCTCTGTAAAGACAGGAGTTTGGGAGATAAAAGAAGCAGAAGTGATTCTATTTGCCACCCGAACTCTGGGTTGAACACCGTTTCTGCCCTCCTCGTGCTGTTTCCAGTTACACTTTGCAAAGAGTGTTTGTGCCCATCTGCTGCCTTGGTCTATGAAGCTGGGTCTCATAATTTAGGATTTGTCTGAACAACTCTACCCACTGACTCCTGCCCTGTTCTTTAGCTCACTACACACTTTCTGTGGCTATAATTCATTTTCAGAATATTGCCCTAATTAAAAAAAAGTTTGTTTCCATTTCCCTTGGAATATTTTTATGTAAACATTTTACTAAAGAGCCCAGAAGTAGAATGGCAGACCTTTTGCAATTTGAGGTATTTCTTCAGAGCCAGAGGATTTTAGATGTAATGCCTAGAACATATCCATTTTCACATGAAAAGGGAAAGCTAGTGCAAAAGAAGGAATACCTAAAAGAAGGGCTTTTGGGATTTTTTTAATGATCACTTTTAATTCTCTCTAGATAGAAATACAAAATCAAGTAAAAGTATATATTTGATAGTTTTCTCTGTTCATGTCTAGAACACCAGCCTCATCAACCAAAAGAAGAAGATGGAGTCAGACCTGACCCAGCTCCAGACTGAAGTAGACGAGGCCGTGCAAGAGTGCAGGAACGCTGAGGAGAAGGCCAAGAAGGCCATCACGGACGTGAGTCTCCCTCTTCCTGCCTTCACTCCAGACACAAATGCGCTGTTATGACCATCTGACTCTGCAGTTCTGCGTTTTGAGAGTGGAGATCCTTGGGAGGGAAGAGGCCCAGGGCCGGGACTCAAGACCTTCATCCCGTCTCCTGTGCACAGGCCGCCATGATGGCGGAGGAGCTGAAGAAGGAGCAGGACACGAGCGCCCACCTGGAGCGCATGAAGAAGAACATGGAGCAGACCATTAAGGACCTGCAGCACCGGCTGGACGAGGCTGAGCAGATCGCCCTCAAGGGTGGCAAGAAGCAGCTGCAGAAGCTGGAGGCCCGAGTGCGGGAGCTGGAGAATGAGCTGGAGAGTGAGCAGAAGCGCAACGCGGAATCAGTCAAGGGCATGAGGAAGAGTGAGCGGCGCATCAAGGAGCTCACCTACCAGGTGCGGGGGGGCATCGGGAGTAAACGCGGCAGCAGCTTCTCCAGCTCCACTTCCTGGCACACACAGAGCCCCTGATGAACCACCTGTCAGGAACACTGAGCAGCCCTCCTGTCTTTGAGATGCTGTCCATAGATTCCCTTCCTTTCACCTTCTCTGGATTCACTTCAGCTTGAATCCATATATTTTTGTAGCGCAGAATCTACTTCTCCTTCCTGAAATCTCATTTACCAGCATTTCCTCAGATTTTTTGGGCGGGGTACTGGGGATTGAACTCAGGACCTGTGCTTGCAAGGCAGGCAGTAACACCACTGAGCTAAATCCTAGACCTTCCTCAGATTTTTAATAACTCGAAGTGGTATAATAAAGCCTTCAAAATAGTCCAGAGTGCAGCGTTGGTGGAATAGTGGTGAGCATAGCTGCTTTCCAAAATAGTCCAAAGAATCTTTCACTTTCTACCATCCTGACACGGAAGGAGACCATGCAGTTTAGGAACAAGAGCCAAGTGAAGGAAAGAGACTTATTGATCTTCCATGGAAGCTCTGAGACAAGTAAGAGGAGGCCTAGTAAAAGATCACAGAATATTCTATGATCTCCATCTTCCCAATCAGTATTGGCCCTTGACCTGTTATTTTCACAGTGTCCTGGGAAGGAAAAACTCTGAATATGGAAGTGTTGGTCAATCTGACAGGTAGACACCAGAGGCACAGGAAAGAGATTACAGGTGTAGAACCAAAACTTGGTGTGAATACAATGGAAGCGGGGTCCTAGCACATAGGGTAATAAGGAGACAGGAGCAGTCGAGTGACGTGGAAGCCAGGGATCCTAGTACCTGAACTCTGGCCCAGTGCAGTGAGTTAGAATATCGGGCTATGGTAGAGTGGAACGATCTGAGCAATGACAATGCCCCCGTCTTTCTTCCTTCCTCATTATTACTCTTCTGGTTACCCCACGTTGCTCCAAGTCACAGCTCTATCCACCAGATTGAGGCCGGAAGAGAGCAGGTGCCTCCACAGGACCGCATCAGGGAATTCCCTTTGGTCTTGAGATCCCCCCTCCACTTCCGGCCTCAAACTGGTGGATAGAGCTGTTTTGTGAATTCTTGACTGACAGGCCTGCCTTGCCTCTCTCGCCTATAAGTGACATCAGAGATAGAATCTTCCTTGCCACTTCCTTGCCATTGGAAGGAGGGGCAACTGAGTCCAGGGAGAACAGTGGCATGGAGCGGGGGAAGGGAAAAGTAATCGTACTTGCTCCTCCCCAAACTGCCTCCTCTCGCCCCCTCCTGCCCTCCAGACCGAGGAGGACAGGAAGAACCTGCTGCGGCTGCAGGACCTGGTGGACAAGCTGCAGCTGAAGGTCAAGGCCTACAAGCGCCAGGCGGAGGAGGCGGTGAGTTTGTGGTTTTCTTCCCTGTCATCATCGCTCCTACTATGTGTGAGCCAATGAAGATCTGCCAAAGCAGGACACAGATAAAGGTCTGTGCTAATCTTTAACTCTCTAAAAGCATTATTTTATATGTCCAGTATGCCGAGAGTTGTGTCAGGCGATATGAGTTCACAGAAGCAATGCTACATCTGCCCCTGCCCTGCCTGCCCCAGCTTATAGCCCATATACCTGCCCAAGTCCAAGAGGAGGTAGTAGAGATGATACTGAAGGCAGGAAAGTGGCTGTGGATCTGGAATCAGGCCAGGAAGTGGACCTGACTTGGCGCAAGGCTGTAAGGAAGATTTCCGGGCAGGCAAGAAAATGTGGGAGTGAGGTGGGATGTGCACACCTGTGCAGGAAACCCCAGGTCAACCAGCATCTATCCGAGATGCAATTGGAACACATACAGTGAAGCGGATTTGGGGGGCGTGTCACGCCAGCCTGCATGCTCTTTGTCCCGGGCTGTGAGTAACCCTGAAGGATTCTGAATGCTGGACAAGTTTGAGAAAGGGGCCAAGCCAGGCAAGGAGTAGAAACATGGCTGAGGAGGTCAGAGACGGAACGAGCGTTTTGGGCTGAGAGACTAGGAACTTCCACTCCCCATGGCCCCTCTCACCCATCCTCCCCACTGTCCACAGGAGGAGCAGGCCAACACCAACCTGTCCAAGTTCCGCAAGGTGCAGCATGAGCTCGATGAGGCGGAGGAGCGGGCAGACATTGCCGAGTCCCAAGTCAACAAGCTGCGGGCCAAGAGCCGCGACATTGGCACCAAGGTGGGTCCCTCCCCTGGGCTTCAGTAGTCACCCCCACAGCGGCATGCCCTCTGACACGTGTCCCTCGGAGGAGCTACTGCTCACACTACATTTGGACAGCCCTGAGGGTCCCATGGTACTCGATCTGGAAATCCACCCTCCTGCTCACAGAGACCCCCTCAGACTGGAACTCCGCAGAAAGCCCTTGCCCTGTCCTCTAGGCTACTAGCACCCCTACCACAGGGCCCAAGATCCCTGAAGCTAACCCCTCCCTTTCTAAGGGCCTCTTCTAAGCCTAGGCCCCTGAAAGCCCCAGGGATTCTTCACCAGGCCCGCTTGCCCACTCTCACACCTCTTATCCCTCTCCCAGCAAAAAATGCACGATGAAGAGTGACCATGTCTGCAGAAACTCGCTGTGGCTCAAGAACAATAAACACGAATATCTGACCCTGCACACCTGCATCCTTCATCTTTCTGTCAGACCTTCATCCTGGAGCAGGAGGGTTGGTGGTATTAAACGAGGGTGATTCCAGCCACTACATCCAAGCTGAAGGAGCCAAAGCACCCCACATCTATAGAGGAGGAAACCAAGCCTGGACAGGGTGTCCTGCCTGACAGCAGAAATCTCAGCTCTGCTTAGTCACCCACACAGGGAAAGGGAGGGAGATGTTTCAGAAGTGGAGGAAATAAAGGCAGCAACGGGGTGAGCCAATTACAGACACTGAGAGTCAGAACTTTGGTGCCGAAGCTGAAAGTACCCTTCGCCTCCCATATCTCTGAGGCCACAGGAGTTAAAGTTGTCCTAAAACACTGTCCTTTCCAGAAAGATCTCTCCACTGATGTCAGAGCAGGTTCAGGTGCAGAAAGGATGTGGAGAAGTTCCTATCTAGTCAGCCCCTTGGAAGTAACCTACAGGGGGCCCCTCTCTGTCATCCCCAGGGTCTGACTCCAGCTCTGTGTGTCAGTACCTCATACAGTGGCATTCCTAGCACTCTGGGACCAGACAATGCTCAGCCCAAATCGATATGCATTGTGGACACTGCTCATCTCATTTTGGCTCTCACACAGACATAGACAGCACAGGGATGTGTACAGGTACACACACTGCATGCACTTCTGCAGTCTCTGGGCATCCACTGAGGACCAGTCACATAGCTGCTCAGGAGACCAAGCTGGTCCTGATCACCTGCTCCAAGCAAACACCTGCCTCTACTGGGCTTTTTGATAAGACCACCTCCTCATTGCTTTACCTGGCACCCCCTTCCCCAAATTCCCCGAGATGGACCTCTTCTGTCCCTCCCCTGAGGTGGTGCCCATCCTATTCCACCCTCCAAGTCAGTCAGCCGGTCTTGGGAATGGACTGTGCATCAAGTCTGAGAACTGTGAGCAGAATTGTGAGAAACATGAAATGCATGGTTCTGGCCATGGAGAGCCTGTCCAGTCTGATGAGAAGCCAGGACACAAGGATATGAGAACAGGAAACAGGAGACAGGGAAAGTCCAAGAGAGGAGAGGCCACTACCAAAGGAGCAGAGCTCTGCCACAGAGTTCAAGATCCAGGGTCCAGGCAAGGCTTGGGGGTGGGGACCTGCAACTGGAAGGAACACCTCAGAGGAAGGAGGAGGATGCTTTAGGGCAGTAAGAAGCCTTGGAGAGGGAACAGCAAGTCAGAATGGGTGGGGCCACTGAGCTGGGCCATGCTGAGCTCCTCAGGCTGGGCACAAAGTCCTGGCTGCTCTGAACTGTCACGGACCAGGAAGGGCTGATTCCCAGGTTGTGGCAATGGTCGCCTCAAATGCCCTCAGAGCCAAGCTTTCCCCTAGCTTTTACCATGCAGAGCCCTTCACTAGCTGGTCTCTCTCCCCACCCATGAGGGCTCAGGGACGGCCCTGCCCATCACCTCTGAATCCCTAGTGCTAGCACAGGGTCTGCACACAAGAGAGCCTCAGAAAACATGTGCTGAGCAGCTTCAGGCTGGAAAAGCGAGCCACTGGTGGAAGGAGCTGCAGATGAGGCCGGGACATTGTATTCTGAGCCACAGTGGAATTTAGGACGGTATCCAGATCACCTGTGTGGCTAACGAGCGCTGGGTTGTAGCCCTAGCTGTGTCACAAACAAGGAAGTCACTTACCCTGAGCCTGTTTTCTCTTATGTATAATGAAGGCATCAAGGCAACTGATTTCTAGGGACCTTTACAGCACCAGCATTTGGGGAATTTCTCTCTCTGATGCCTACAGCAGCCCTTTCCCCTGTCATTTGCCAGCCAAGTCCTCTCCACACCACCAGGGGGAGCTCTATACCTGCCCCAGAGAAGCACCTCAGCTGGTGCAGCTAACAGGTATGGGGGTGGGGGGCAGTGGGTTTCACACTTCTTCACATAGGAAACCTGTGCCTTTTCAGGGGCAGAGCTCCAAGTCACAGGCATATCAGGCAGTGGGTTGCATACAGTATTTTGAGAATTCGTCCTCAGATGCCTCAGGCTGTGGTAGTTTAGCCTTGGAGGGTGTCCTCATCTCTTCAGGCCTGCCAGCACCACCTCACTGCTCAGACCTGGTCCCAAAGGGGTCCACGTACTCCAGGCAACATTTCCACCAATGCACCTTGACACTCCCGATCTGCCTAATGTCTGGGGAAGAAGAAGACCTGCCAGTAGGATTTGAATCTTTTAATTTGGGAATAACTGGGGGCCCAGCTTCCTTTCCTCCTTCCTCTTCTCTCCTCCGCTCCTCTGGTCAGAACCTCATCAGAGGCCAGACCCCAAAGCACCAGGCTCCATCCTCAGTGACTTCTCAGCGGTAGGGATCTGTGTGCTGGGTGTTCCGTGAATACAAGGAGCTGTGTCTGAGCTCTGCAGTCCCCTGTGTTCATCTCGGCCTAGGAGCCAGGTAGCCTCAAAGTCACTGCTGGTCCCCTGTGAAAATGGAATCAGGCAGGGAAGCTGTGTCAGGCTGGGATAGCTGGGGTAAAGTTGGGGGCATCTTCTCTCTCAGTGTATGTCACTCACCCTCAGGGGCCCTGGGCGCCATTTCAGTCTGATATATCTTGAAGGCATCGTAGACAAAAACAGAAACCAGGATGATGCCAAAAACCTGTGGGAGCAGAGATGGCACAGCAGAGGATTCGGGGCCACTGGATTAAGGGAGGAAGAGAGGGCGGTAGGCAATATGGGATGAGATGCAAGCCAGACCCCAGGCACTGGGTTTGTCTTTGTTTACTGTTTTTTGCCATAATACTGGGAATCCAGTCCAGGGGCTTGCATGTGCTAGTCAAGCACTCAACACAACTACATCCCCAGCCTGAAGCTTTGGCTTTGGATGCAGGAAGGGTACCAGCACTGGCCAGGAGCCCTCAGGGGCTGGACTCACAAAAGCAGCAATGGCAGCTCCCTCCCGGGAGGTCACAGCAGCAAAGGAGACCACCAGGAAGATGATGATGGCACTGACACAGCGGAGGAAGTCCTGAGGAGCAGGAGGGTGGCATCAGAAGGCAAGGGGCAGGCCGGGGATTTAGCTCAGTGGTGCCACTGCCTGCCTTGCAAGCACAAGGTCCGAAGTTCAATCCCCAGTAACAACAACAACAAAAAAAAGGCAAGGGGCATCACCTTGAAGTTTCCTAGGTTAATTGGGGACCTGACCCTCAGGGATTCTGAATCCCTACCTGAGGATGCCCCTGGATATATATAAAGCACTTTCAGGGGACAGAGCTCAATAAGCTGCCCAGGGAATGGCAGCAGGTGAATCCAGAGCAGCCAGAGACTAAGGCAGGGGTAGGGGACTGGCCCAGGCCAGCAGTTGGAGCACACCAGCTGACAGGGCCAGTTCGGAGAGAGATGAGGGCTGGTGAATGGCAGAAAGAGCTAAAGATATATGGCTGTTCTCATACACAGGGATCCTGGCTATGAAGCCAGCTTGGGCCAAAGCATAGTCTTGAGTTCAGGGTACAGCACAGGGCATAGCCCAGTGGAGAATGGATATGGAGAGAAGCTGGGGGAAAAAGGAAAACTCGGTGAATGAGGGAAAGGAAGAGACTGGAACGGAGTAAGGGAGGCGGTGTCCCTCACCAGGCAGGGCCAGTTAAGTCGATCAAAGCGCTGGTAGTACTGGGTGGCGTAGAGGAAGAGGAAGGCGAGCGTAATGAAGAACTCCAGCAGGGCCGCGGCCATGTAGGCAGAAACGGAGGCCGTGAAGCAGATGAAGATGATGAAGGTCAGGGCCTACAGGACCAAGCATGGGGAGCTGGCCAGGAAGCAGACACACAGGCCAGGCCTTGGCCTCCCCCTCCTCAAGACACACACCCCCGTCCCAGCTGGCACCCAATACCTCAGACCCACCACCCTCTAGCGCCCCAACCCCTGCCAGCCCAGGAATTCCGGTGACCTCAGAGGTTAGGCCACACCACACAGCTCCAGGGGCACTGACCTATGATGGTCCACAACACAGTGTCCCCAGGAGCAGTCCGTATGTGGTGCCCACAGCAGCCCTGCACCTCAGGTGTCACCCCCTGCCCCATCATGCTATCCCCACCCCCAGACGCCCGGAACTCCACTGGCAAGAACTGGAGCTGTGACTCCGTGCCAAGAGAAAAGGCTCAGGAGGCAGGAGATCCCTCCGAAACATAGTATAGCAGACAAGCAGGGGCTTAGATTTATGCTGTGATCTTGCTGAATAAAGAGGGGAGAGTCTTTTTTGAGAACAGGTGCGCATGGGCAGCAGCCAAAGGATAAATTGTGGCCACAGGAAGTCTGCCCTTTTTGATAGTTGCACTTCTTGGCCGAGAAGCAGTTACCAGTGACTGAGGAGAGACCTCTGTCCAACCCCCATGTCTCACACCCCCTCCACATCCCAGAATGCTGTTCTCTGGCTAGCTTCAGTCTGTCCTGCTACAACTGAAACCTGCTGCAAACATCTCCAGGTGGAGAGGCAGCAGGAAGGCCAAATGGGAGGCAAAGACACAGCTACAACCAGAAGTGTCCAGAAAGTTTGGGGAGGGGGTGCCAAGCAGTGAGCCTGGGGAACCAGAACAGGGCTGAGCAAAGAAGCTGGCCAAGGGAGGGATGGAGGCACCAGGATGGCGGCGGGGGCAGCTGTTACCAGCTCCGTTTCCAGCAGGATGCCTTTGAGGGAAGAGAAGAAGGTCTTGTCCACAGCGAAGCCTTGGAGCCCTGAAGCTGGCCTCTCTTCGGGGGGCCAGTCCCGGCGATCCCAAGCACTGAACATCTCTATAGGCCCCACAGGCCACAGCCCCCCACCGTGGCTACCAGCTCAGGAAGAGCAACAGGAAGTTAGCAGGATAAGAAAGCAGACAGGAGTGAGAAGGCACTTCCAGAAACCTGGCTGTGAAGTAGGAAGGCCTGCCTGCCTTCACCCAGCTGCCCAGAGTGTCTTTGCTATGGCCTGCACTGACCCCTTGGAGAACAGGGGGAGGAGGGAAGCATGGTTAACCCTCCCCTTACTTGAGCCCAGCCCAGTCCTGGAAAAGGAGAGAAGGAAGAAAAAGAGAAGAGGTCAGGATGAAAAAAAAAATAACACCCAGAAGTTGGGAGATGAGCCAAGAGACAGGCAGGGATAGGAGACCCTCCATGACGCAAGCCTGAAGAAGTGTGTGGCCCCCTCCCATAACCTTAACCCTCTTCCTTGGCTGGTCCTTTCTCCGTCTTCCTTTTAGAGAGGGTGGGAGCTGGAGGCAGGCGCAGGCAGCAACCCCCAGGACCAAGCTGCAGCAGCCTCGACCAGAGGACAAAGGCAGATTGTCGGAAAGACAAGGGGGCGCTGTGTGCCTACTGCAGTGCCTCAATGGGCCTCTGTCTCTCCAGCATGCTGGTGTTCAGGGATGGACCAGAGAGCCAGAGAGGGAGGAGATGGGAGGGTACAAGGGAAATTCTGTAGGGTAGGGAGAGCTGGCCGGGTGGGCAGTAGGTGAGGGCTGGTGGAAGGAAGGAGAGGGGACCAGGCTGAGGACCACAGGATGTTCAGGCATCATGGGCATCAAAGACAAATTAGAACATTTTTAAACACAGATGTTTATTTGAATAAATCTCTCCATGTTCAATAACAGCTTCTTCCTCAGAATGATCCATATCAAAGGACTAGTAACTATACCAGGATGGAGGCAAAGTAGGTTCCCACTGAGTATTTGATGAATGATGAACAAACAAAAGAGGGGCAAACGGGAAAAAAAAATCAAGAAAGTGCCTGTACTGCACAAGGGCAGCTGGAGATAGGAGGAAAGAGAGAAGTGCGGCCTCCAGAAATGGGCAGAGCTTTGAAGGCCTTTCCTAAAAGGAAATGCCAAGACACCAGCTTCCAGCAGCAGAAGCTGCAGCTACTCTCTTCTGAAAGTGCTTTCAAAAAGTGCAAATGTGTAGGTTCCTCCTCAGGCCGCCATCTGTCCCAGGGTTCTGCTGCTCCAGGTAGTGGCTTGGAGGGACCAAGAGTCCGGGTACGCTGGCCCACCACCATGGCAAGGTCTCTGTCCACCCGTCTCCAGTAGCATGCACCAGGGAGCAGCCTCAGGCAGACAGCAGGCAAGACTAGGCCATCACCCGGGGCCGCACACACACGCAAGCCAAGGACACACGGTACAGCCTGCGCTCCAGGCAGTAGCCATGGTGGGCACCATGTTCACCATGGCACGGTCGCCGGTAGAAGACAGTCTGGTTGTGGTAGAGCAGCTCCGAGTTGCCCAGGGGGTCCATGTGGGAGCCTGTCTGTAGGCTGACGCAGTGTGGGCACAGGCAACGGGCGTGGTACAGGTCCTGGGGGAGCCGGTTCAAGTCCCTGTCCAACCTGTAGGGGTGGCACTCGTCAGACCCTGGAGCAATAGGCCAACAGCTGGGAAGGAAGGCAGGGTGGGAACACTAGAGGAGGGAAATAATACAGTTGGAGGCCTGGCTTCTTATCTCACTTCTGGTACCCACTTACTTGGAGCAAGTCACCCCTTTCCTCTCTGGGATTTCTTTCCCTAACTGGTAAGCTAGGGAAGGGAACAAAAGAATGGAATTCCACATGGGCCAGTGGTCCTTAGAGAGGCAGAGGACAGTGAGCAAGCTCCTGCCTCAGCCCCCAGAAGACCAACCCTGTCCCACCTGATATACATGCTCGGCTCCAGCACAAGGTTTCTTAGCATCATTCTTAAATTTTAGAGTTTTTTTTTTTTAATCTGCTGTTACTGTAAAAATAAAAACTACTCTGACAGCAAAGTAAAAAAGAATGTAAAGTGAAGAACTGTCTGTCCCCACCAGTACCACTGCCCAGAGGGAGGCTTTCCCCATACATCCTTCCCGACCCTCTGTAAGCACGTGTCACGATACACTTCAGAGGGCACAGGACGCTTCTGTTCTGATGGGAGTCGTGGCAGAGAGAGAGAGAGAGAGAGAGAGAGAGACTGGAAAACCACTGAAAAGTAGGTACTCCAAAGGTCTGGATGCTAGTAGCCTAATGGGAAATCCCCCAGGTGGTGGAACCATTTCCCATATAATGCTAGGAAAAGTGGTGTTCAGCTACTGCAGCATTTCCCAGAAGGGATTCCCTAATAAATACTCTGCGTGAAAAAGTTCTGAGGCCAAATGAGTTTGGAAGACACTAAGTCCAATGATTTCTTTTCTGCAGACATCTTGTAGAATTCAATGTAGAGGTTACTATGCATTTACAAGGAATAGGGGCTGAAGTAACCTTTCCCAAACTAACTTGACATCATTTTTCCCCCCTGAGGAGCAGCTTGTGGAATGGATGTTGCACAGAACACACTTTGGGAAAAGCAGGCTGAATGGTTACCAGGGCTTCCCAGCCTTTGCAGTTGGGGTCTGGACCCCTGCTGAATCAGCCATCTGGTACCCAGTCTCCCCTAAAGAATTCCCATGCCATCAGAGTGGCCCAGCACTCATGCAGCCTTCTGAGATTACTCCAAAGTCTTAAGGCCAGTGTCTCCACCTCAGTTAAAGTTGACCCCTTGCTGTCCACCAGAACTCCTCCATCCATCCCCCAAACCCAAGGGTAATCAGAACCAGACTTATAGGGGATGGGGACACAAACTGCTAGTGAGGACACAGGCAGAAAAATTACATTTGTGACCCCAAAGGCCTCAATCTTCCATATTTTGTTTCTTTGCTCCTATTTCACATCATGGCACACATAGAGAATCATAATAGTTGTGTGGCACAGAAATCTGAGAAAAATAAGATAACCACAATTAGGATCAAAGATAACCAGCCCCAGGATCCAGCCACTCAGGTGCCCCCAACAGTTAATTTTCCTATCATGGTATTCTTGTCACCAATCATAGCCTAGTGCAGTAGCATTTGGTACAGAGATGCTCTCTGCCTATATCATACTATTTTCTCCTGATATTTTAATTAGAAAAATCATAGGCCATTGTAGTGTGGGGGGGAGGACTGGAAGGAAAAGAGGAAGAGGAGGAGAAGGGGAAGAAGAAAAGTAGAGAACCAACATAACTACATATTTTGCATGCATTTCACTCAATGTGCACTTTAGCATATAAATTATCATCTAATTTTACAGATGAAAACAAAACAAAATAAAACCCTGAGCAAGGTCCTGAGTTCAATCCCTGGTACAAAAAAAAAAAAAAAAGTAAAACTCCCAATATAACTTGGGAGTTATTGGCCTGAAGTCACCCAATGGGAGTCAGACCTGAGACTCAAATCATGGCTGTGTAACTCACAAACCTTTCCTGCTCCTCTGTGATCCAGAGGGAAAGGTAGGCCATAATTGAGTGGAACACCCCTGGTCCCTCACACACACCCTGACATCAGCACATATAGGGAGGCATGGTCAGGCATTTGGGAGGAGGACAGCACACTCACTCATATCTCCAGGGGGAGATGGCCCTGCTGTTGAGGGGTCCGTCTTCACTCGCCCTGCAGGATTCTGGGTAGTAGGCAAGGGTAGGAGGCTCCGGGGGAGACAAGGGCATAGTAGTCCACTTCAGCCACTCCTCAGGAGGGTCCTGCCCTTTGCTGGGGCAGCACCTGGGCCTGTGTCTGCAGTCCTTCTGGACCGGCAAACTGAGGGTGTGGATTCCCACGATCATGGCCATGAATGCAGTCACCTGCTGGGAAGGTCAGGAAGAAAATGGCTCTCACCTGTCCAGGTCTCCCTCCTACCCAAACCTCCCCCTAGCTGCTCCATGAGATCCCAAACCTGGAAACCGGTCTCCCCCATCCTCCATCTCATCAGGTCCTCTGCCAGCCCTCGGTATCCTCACCTGGTACATGCTGGAGTCTGCTCACTCAGCGACAGGTGCTGGCCTGACTGATGGACAAGCCTTCTGGAAGCTGGCTGAATGGAGCAGTTTAGGAGTCCTGGTTTTATTTTCAGCAAACCTGTTTTGTTTATTCAAATTTATTTCCACTATCCCTTAGAGGGAGTGACTTAAGATTAAAAAAAAAAAGCCTGAAAGCATTTTCAAAAGCTATTTAAAACACTGCCCTCATGGAAGCTGTGATGGCCATCATTATCAGCCTAGTAGCTGATTGTGCAAATTTTGCTTTTTGCACCTTCCCAGTTATGAGGTCAAAGCAATAGTGTTCCACTGCTCTATGTCTTTATGGACTGGCACTGTGGGGATTTCCCTGGTTGGTTTGCTACCTCGAATTAGGGAGTCTCCTGACCTCCCTTCTACAGGTTTCCTTTCCATGCTCTCTGCTACTCCTATCTAGAATGTGGTCCCCACGCTTTCCCTTCTTCCCAGATGCCCCTGACCACCCACATTAGTGACTACTTTTCTTTCTCTTCATCTCCTTTGATCCCATGCTCTTTGCACTTTGACCCCTTCTCTTCTTTGATGACCCCAACTCCTCCAACTTCTTTTACCTTCTCCTTACTTCCCTTTACCCTCTTCAGTCACTATCCCATCCCTATCCTGACACTTTATATGGCCTCTTCCTCAGGAGAGGGACACAGGCCTCACCCAACAGGACTGCCAGGAAGGCCCTGATCCCTTAAGCTGGTTGGCCAGAAGGGTGAGACCTGGTGGGAGAAGCTGTGGATGATTGTGCCCATGGCACAAATGAAAAGGTGGAGCAAGGAGGAAGGAGAAGAAGAAGAAGAATGCATAACCACCTTACCTAAGACCCTGCTGGAGGACACATTTCCACATATAGGGCCTTGGGGTAAAGTTCATGGCAGGAACAGCTCCCCCCCTCAGGCCATGGGGAGAGCCCTCTCAGCCTTAGCATTCTCAGCAACATGGAGCAGGGTTGGCCAGGAGGGAAACTGCATGCACCTGCTGGGAGGACTGTGCAGAGAGAGCAGGTCAGTGCCTGCTTTGCTCCAGGCCTTTCCCTCATCGGAGTCCATGGACTGACAACAGACCTGGAGTCTGACCGTGGCCCAACACCCTCATATACAGACATTGTCTCTAGAATGTTGCTTCCTGATTTGCATGTGCTTTCCCTCAGAAAATACTCCTCTAGTAACCAAGGACTCGGGAAATAAACAAAAGAAACAGGAATAACAAACACTGTAGAGTCAGGAAGAATCCTTCAAATGCTTCGGACAAAACAGTCAGAAAGAAGAAAAAAAGAGATGGGGGTCCAAGGAGAGGAAGAGGAAAGGAAGTGTTCAAATGTCAGAGGGCACTCTGCAAAATTAGGAGAAGCTGCTCTGGTGAGTCTTGGGGCTGGAACCATGGAGGGAAGCCTTGGGAGACACCAAGGCAGCAGGGAGAGTGAGCCACTTAGGAAGAACAGTGAGGCTGGGAATATTGTAACCCTACTCCCATACCCACCCTCCCTCCAGGTGCTCCCAGATGTCTGTCTCCCTTCTATCTACCACGGACCCCATTCCTGTGCACTTACATGTGCCAGACAGAGGGCTAAGCCCTGGACATGAATTGTCTATTTTATCCTAACAATAAAACCATGACACAGAAATTGTTATCCCCATACCTCACATGAGGAAACTAAGACCCAGTGAAAGTTAGAAAACTAAGTTGAACTGATTTTCTATTCCAGCCCCGACCAACTCCAAATCTAAGCTCCTGGCATAGAACTACTCCAGCCCTCATCAGGGGCAAGTGGAAAAGGAGCCCTCGTGTAGGATGTTGGCCTGGTGATAGGTGCGCTTGGGCTGGACAGATCTCAATCCTACCTGCCCAAGGCCACAGGACCTTGCCCACTTAGGCAGTCAGCCCTGCTGGCTGGGATCCTCTGCTCCAGCCTCTGGTCTGGTACATGGCCTCAGGGTTGGTCCTGCTGTTCCTGAGTAACCCTAGCCCCAGAATGGGATCTAGAGGGCAGTGCCATTTCAGAAGTCCTGGATTTCTGAGTCTCCCCTAAAGAAACAGAAGCCCAAGGCTGAGGGAGCAGAACCAGAGCCTGACTTTGGCCCACATCTTCTGATCTTGCTCCCCAACCCCATGGAGCTGGAAGTAATCCCAGCTGCTTGATTCACTTGCTGACCCTACAGGAAGGTCACAGCCTGGGTTACTGGACACACTGCCCTTTAGGATGGTCCTTGGGGTATCTCCCTGCCTCTGTAGCTCAAAGTAGAGGAAACCCCTGAAAGGCAGAGGGAGGGCCTCTCCAAGCACACAGTCTCCCTGAGGGTTGCCTTCCTACCCTATAATGAGCAGCCCTGATCCAAGAACCTATGATCTGACCCACATGCCCCCACTCCACCCCATTCGCTCAGTCTCTGTCCTTATCTCGGTAACAACTTTGTGGAACTCTTTAGGGTTACTCCCTGGCATGAGAAACATTTTCCAGAGGGTTTCCTCGTGGGGTGATGAGTTCTGGAATCCCTGAGTCACTTCAACTTCCAGGGAATCCTTGGGGGTGCAAGGATAGGTAGGTGGCAGTGGGGAGAATGACAGAGGTGGAAACGAAAGAAAGTTCACTTGGCACATAACATCAAAGGTACCCTCCCAACACGTCCCCACTTGTTTATGCCTCATCTGACAGCCACAGAGGGCTTGCCAGGGTTCTTATCCCTCTGCCCCCAGGAAAACTGGTAAGCAAAATGCAGGGTAGGTAAGAGCAGGGAAGATGTGATGAAATACACCTCCCACCCTTAGCTTGGAAAAGCATGGGGCTTGCAGAGAGTTCAACTATGGCTTCTTAGAAAGATATTCAAGTTTTCATCTGCTACCTTGAAGTTTTGGTCCAGCCTTTGATCAGTTATTGTCCTTGGGCCCTGTCTCTGCCCCTTCCCTCCTTGTTTGTAGGGATATGTATATTGTAGAAGCCTGGGGGGTACTGGGAGTTAACCTAGAGGGCCTCAAGGGTGCCAACAGCTTAGCTGCTCTGGACCTCAGCTCTCAAAATAGTGCAGAATCCACAGAATTCCAAAGCGTATGCTGAATTTCATCTAAGCTTACATCACCAAGCTTACATCACTAACCTTAAGTGATGCTGGAGCATGAGTTATTAAAACGCTCAAGCACTTCCTCACCTTCTGCTAAGTAGATGCTACTCTCAGCCTTGAGGCACTCCACACATACACCTCCCTATGACTGAGCAACTAAAAAGTGCAGGGCACAATGGAGATCTCTAGACCAGTGATGGCAAAACTTTCAGAGCCCGACTGCCCAAACTGAAACACAAAACTCACTCATTTAAACAATAGTAATAATAATAAACTCACTTATTCATCACAAAGTGCCAATACTGCAATTAAACTTGAATGCTGAGGGTTTGTTTTTTTGTTTTTGTTACCAGGGATCAAACTCAGGTCCTTGTGCTTATGAGGCGGGCAGCAGAACCATTGGGCTAAATCCCCAGCCCCATGCTGAGATTTTAGTTTAGAAAAAACAACTGTTAACCAATGGCTGCTGGGTGACTTGGCTTATGTGCCAACAGAGAGTGCTCTATGTACCTGCTGTGGCATTTGGGCCATAGGTTCTGGACTATTGATTGTCCTCATGTTCTGATTGGTGAGTGATAAAGGTACTGGTTGCCATTTTTTTTTTTTTTTTTTTTTTTTTTTTTTTTTTCCTGGTTTT